CTCCTATGTTTAGTGCCTGCAACATTCATATCCCTGTACAATACACAAAAATAAAGACTGTTCCTGCTGGGGGCGGGCCCTTACGGTGTGTCTATACTGTAAGTGGGCTCCCAGGGCTGGCCCTTGCCAGCTGACTGAGGCTTGCAGGGCTCAGGCTAAAGGGCTGTTTAATTGCAGTGTAGATGTTTCAGCTGCAGCCTGATCTCTGAGACCCTCCCTCCTCTAAAGGATAGACACAAAGATGGCAAAATGCCTGGCAAATCTAGCAGAGGAGAGTTTTATTCTCTCACATAATTATAAACTCACAGGTGTTTTAAGTGGTTTGAAAAAGGAAAGAATCTGGGAGAAAAAGAATAAGCACATTCCATAATTAAGGGGCTATTGGGCAGTGTACAATACTGAATAGATAAGGTGTTATGTTGTCAATAGTTATTTACTGGGGCTATCTTCTTGCATCCAGATTCTAAAGTGAGATCTTAGGGGCCTGAGCAGGACACCAGCATCAACTGCGAACAGTACATAGAACATCGGAGCTACAACCACCAGAGTTATGAACTGACCAGTCAACCACACGCCTCATTTGGAACTGGAAGTACACAATCCTGCAGCAGCAGAGACAAAACACTTAATTTTTTTGGACAAAAAGGAAACTGTTTAAATGAGCGGTTGTTTCATTTAAATTAAGATGGTTAAAAGCGCCGCTTTTCTTCTGCATGGTCAAGTTTCAGAGCTGTATTAAGTCAACGTTCAGTTGTAAACTTTTGAAAGGGCAACCATAACATTTTGTTCAGAGTGCCGAACATTTCAGAGTTCCGAACAGCCTCCATTCCCGAGGTGTTCAGAACTCTGAGGTTTTACTGCATGTGCAATATAAAAGGCATTGGAATCCAGCGGGCACGGGAGGGGAAGCTTACCCTACAATGCTTACAAATGAACGATTAGTGCATCATGAAATAGAATTGACGAGTTCAGTGATTCTCAGACCTCTGGTTCAAGAGCCAAAAGAGCCACAGCGGTGTGAATTCATTGTTTCATTTACTATAGATTCATATTTAAACAGTAATGATGGGAACTATTTAGTTTATATATTATTCTCACAATAAATAAATTAATAATGTGGTGCAAGTTGATAATTTGTTAACACAGTAATATTGGTTATTGGCTAATTAAAATTGATTGGTTAATAATTAAGTCTCTCAGTGTTTTAATATCACGTACGGCAAAGACCCACAGGAGACACTTTAAAGAGCTACTTGTGGCACAAAAGCTGCCACCTGAGGGTTACTGGCCTAGTTTATGCTCCCTTTATGGAATGGCCCTGCCTAGGTTACACTTTGCTCAAATTATTCAAGGAGTTCTACCAACCCCTTAAATTCCCTTGTTTCTGGTTTGCTATTTGAAAGCAAAGCTGTATTGCTTAGTTATGATTAGTCACATAAGTAATGTGGCATTTTTTGTTCTCCAAATAGAGAAGAACCTAACTTCAAGCATGAAAAACTACAGATACTGCAACTCCAAAAAGAAAAAGAAAAAATCTGTTTTATTAGGGGCATTGGAGAATCTTAACATTCACTTTCTATGAACATTTATTCCAGTAAAACTTGATTGCACAAGTGTTTGCAGGAAGAGACCATAAAAGGGGGGCAAACATACACCTAAAACAAAGTAGTTTTTGTTTTGCTTTTGCAAGGGCTGATGACAGTACCAAGGGAACATTTGGGTGAGAAAAAACTGAACCAGCTTGTTAATGTTGGGTAGACTTGAGAATGATCCATGATAGGTTGGACCAGATTTACTGTATTAGTGAAATATACATTTTTCTGACATGGATTTCACTTCCAGGCAACTAAAATATAGGACTATGGAGAAAGGAAAGTACTGGGCCCAATTTCCAAACATGGGCACCTTAACAAAACATTCAGTTGCTACATTCACATGTTGATGAGCATTTATTTGCAAACATGGCTGTTTTATACACTTAAGTACAGATTTCAGCATGCAACATGGGACTAGGGCACCTTGGAAACTCCAGAAGTTTCCAGACAGACATACTCTCAGACTTGCACTGGTACAGCTCATCTTTAGCTCCTTGATTTGTGTCGGGGGAGAGTTAACAACCCTTCCTAATGAAAAGTAGATGGAGCAATTCAGCTCCGAGTGAGATAGATTAATGATCGAGGCAATCAAGTCCACAGGACCCACTGGCATGTCAATTTAGGAAAGCTCAGCATTAAGTAATTACTGAAGTAAAAAGGTAATGGAATCCTCTAACAACCCTCTTCTACATTAGATGAGGTTTTTTTACATATAAAAATATCCCACCAGCCCTCACCAAAATACCAAAGTGAATGGCCCTCTCCACAGCTTGCTCATGGTGGCATAAAACATATTTGACGGTCTTTCTGGTTCAGTTCTAGAACGAAAGAACAAAAGATTTAGGGGCTTCATCAGACACTTTATGCATGGAAACTGGAGTATTTCATTGCATAAAGCTGTATTGTTTTGACAATAAGTTAACATTTGGGTAGTGAGGTTGATAAGGCCTCAACAGCAAGCTAGAAAACACTAATGGATTCAGTATTTCCAGTCTCTACTCCATCTCCTACATGAAATCCTGCAAAGTGATTCTAACACTCTCAGTGCTGCAACATTTTTCACTTCAGTTTCATTCTCCAGCTTCCATTCAGTCCTTTCCACGTCTGCCAGGGGGATGTATGTGCGTGGTTTTTTAAACTGACCTTTTGCATACATGCAAACTTGCACCAGCTTCAAGATTAGATAAGCTATTCAAACCAAGTTAGCTAAGCCAACACTAGTTTGTGTGTCGACAACGCTCAAGTCTTAGTGAGACTAGATAAATAAAAACTACAGTACAACCTCCGAGTTACCAACACCTCGGGAATGGAGGCTGTTCGGAACTCTGAAATGTTCGGAACTGTGAACAAAACGTTATGGTTGTTCTTTCAAAAGTTTACAACTGAACATTGACTTAATACAGCTCTGAAACTTTACTATACAGAAAAAATGCTGGTTTTAACATTCTTAATTTAAATGAAACAAGCACAGAAACGGTTTCCTTACCTTGTCAATTTTTTTTTTAAACTTTCCCTTTATCTTTTTAGTAGTTTACATTTAAACACGGCACTATACAGTATTTGCTTTGCTTTTTGGTCTCTGCTGCTGCTTGACGGTGTACTTCTGATTCCAAATGAGGGGTGTGTTTGACTGGTGGGTTCATAACTCTGAGGTTCTACCGTATGTAGGGAAATAGGCAGTTTGGAACACTAAATCCACTTCCAGACAGGAAGACCAATCTGCTTCTCTTTATTAATAAAGTACATGCGATGCATTTTATACTGGCAATATGCAAATATGTCACACACATACAGCACTTTTCCTCTATAAGTCTCTGTGTTTTACAAACAGCAGGTAAGCATTACCTCCACCGCTCTGCATGTGGAGAAACTACGGCACCAAGGTAAGTGACTGCTCTGTGATCATTCATAAGTCAGGGGCAGAGCAGGAGAAAGAAGCTGGAGTCCTTAGCCCTAGTATAGTACCCTATCCATCGCACTATGCAGCTTTTCTTTGCATTTTATATGCTCAAAGTACTGTGTAAAAATGTTGACATTGACTTTACTCACCAAAAGCCAAGTTTTGCTTCTATTAATTCCCCATTTCTTTTACCTTTGAACATGAAGTATATTTCCCACCATCTTCGAGATCAGGCAGATTTTAAAAATCAGTAAGATAACATTTAGGCTCCTTTTAAAACGCTGTCCATTTATATAACTGAACATTAGCAGGCTCTCTTTAGACATCGTAAAGCAGGAAAAGGGGTAAAACTAATTTCCCCCCTGCAGACATGCACAGGAAGCAAACACAGCATTTTGCTTTTTATCATTAATTATGCTGGGTTTAATGTATGCAGCCAGCCAACAAGTTCCCGGTCATTTGTCCCATACAGATACCCAGAACTGTAGGAAATAAAGCTCTAATTGCCCTGTAATATACGGTGCGTGGTTTCTCCAGTTTATTAGTGTTTTGCTCTGTTTCCACTGTGAATCCCCCTCCTTTGCATGGTTCTTTTTCCCCCCCAAAATTGGGAAATAATTGCCTCTCTCTGCAATCAGTCCAAAGATTCTTCTTCAACCGCTATTTATAGCGACTCAGACAGCAGTGACGAGTTAGTGCAGTCGTTACTATTGGCTTTCAGTGACAAAGGTTAAATAACTAACTATATGTATTTTCACACTGAAATTGGTTTTTATTTTTGTTCACAATTGTGTAAGAAAACGTTATCTTGCTAAAATGCACGTCCAACATGCTTGTCCTTTGTCTGTACAGGTCACAGAACATTTGGAACATGTTGCATCTTCCAAACATCCAGTTAAATGCTGAATACGCTGGGGAATGTCCCACCATGGGCCAGATTTTGGCTGCCTCAGGTGAATGTTTGGGGCTCCCCCAAGGGACAGCCAGATTATTGACTCGTGTGCTTCTTGAATGCCAGTTGTGGCAAGGGTTAGCATTGCCAGATGATCAATGGCAACACACATGCAAGGGTTGTGTGGAGGTAAGTAGCAGGAGCATGATCAAGAGGGAAGAGAAGGAACACGCTATACCTCCAAAAAAAATGGAGGTGCAGTCTCCCCAGGACTGCTGCCAGAAGTCTGTCTCCCCTGCACGCCAACCATCTCCGGTCACTGTAACTGGTGCAATGCACCTCCCCATTTCTCATCCCCTTATGTGGATTTGGAGCGCTAAGGGCCCAATTCAGCTCCCATTAAAATCCATGGAAAGACTCCCATTGAGCTGATGGAGAGTTGAATTGTGCTCCATTGTCACAAAATAGGCCTGTGCATGCATATTATATAAGTGTAATCGTAGAATTGTGACTATCCAACCAGGCTACAGGTGTTGGCAAGTGCGGTCTTTGAGCACCCACCCCTACACATTCCAGGTTGCCATTTTGTAGCAATAACATCTGTTACTCCATATTTTATTACATCAATGGCTTGAAAAATTTTATTTGATGTCAGCAAACATTGGAAATCATAGAAAAATGAATTGTGTAGAATTTCACAAATGAATTTTCAAACCCCATTATAATTCCTCTTACAGTAAAATGATAATTCAAAAACAAATGTTGCTTTTCAGTGGTTAAGCAATTTTATAATGCTATGAACATTCATCACAGTAAGTGTGCTGAATAATAGAAAACAGGCAAAAAAGACATTAAAATATTACTTACAACAGCATTATTACAACATACTTTCTTCAAAACCCCAACGAGTATTTGATCACTTCCAAAGCTATACAGCATTTCCATTATATTTGCAAACTTAACCTTATACATCTTTTAAATTTTGAAAAAATTCTTTTAAGTAATCTATAAGCAGTTAACAAAATTGATAAAATCTACATAATGGAATACTATACACTCCAGTATAAATTTAATTTTTAGGAGAATATGAATGTAAACACTCATTATTATACAACATGCATAGACTATACTGACCTTCCATCTTCTGAATGGTAACTTTCACTGCAATTGTGCTTTACTATCCACTATTAATCCAGGGAGTGGCAGAAAGTGTATTTGCTTCAGGGCATTGCAAACGATCACTAGATTTTGACTTGCTAAAGGCAAGCTGGAGCTAATAAAAATGCAATTTTTTTTAAAAAAGTGACTATCAGGCCACTCAATTTTGAATGGGCTATGAGATGTTCTATACAGACTTAAATATATATCAGAAAAGCCACATCTTGTGACATTTTTGCAGTTCATTGATCTGGAGTTTTTCGAAGTCCTTAAGCTCACAAATCCAGTGATCAAGATAGCGTAATGCACAGTTTGGCTCATATTTGGTGTGCATGAATACCAACAGTATACTGGAAATTTTGGGGGGGAGGAGGCAAAAACTAAAATGGGTCAAGTTTAAATTTAAAGTGACAATGAGCATATTTTAGTAAGCAATGTTTCAGATGTGTTTGTCCTGGAAAGAAAAACGTTTGTCAGGACATCACTTTAAGAAAAAAAGTTTCATTCTTGTATTAGCTTTTTAAAAAATGATGCTTTTTATTCAGAATCCAGGGGTCTTCCTGGTTGCAAACTTGTAAAAAAAACATTAAGAATCAGTTGTTATCCCCACTGGTATTAAATATATCAAGACACAAATGTTGTGGCTGCATTACCGGTTATGGCTACTATGGACTTAAGCGTCTGATTGTACATTTTTGCTATACTGTTAAGCACAACTGAGGCATGTATTTTTTCCCTTGGTTATAAAGATTATATTACAAAAATTGATCACTGTGTTTCAGACCAGTTAAACACAATATTCAAGTAACAAGGTGTTTTAATGGGTAAGTGAAAAAAGTTACCTAGCACTTTACACAGCTACATAAAAATTAAATAGAACAAATGTAATTTGTTTATGCATATGTAATACACTTATATCTTTAAGATTTCTAAAACTAAAAGTTAAACTATCATTTGCTTTAACGATACCATATTTTTGCACAATAACTTATACTTAGGAGAAGTAAATTCCCATATTCCACAAAATATATATAATTATAACATTCACATTGATAGTTTAAGAAAACAAAATTTAAGTGAATATTACATCTTATGCAGTAATCTTTGTGGACCCTTCTAATCAGAATGCAACCAGTTGATGAATCTAATGCTTGATCCATTTAAAAAAAAAAGGTCTTCATATAAAACAAGACCAAACCATTTAAACTTTCAGAGCTAAAATGATTTCTTGCATTTAAAAACATAATAGGTAAGAGAATAATGAAACAAAGTTAAAAATACAGGGCTATATTGTAAGTATAAGACGACAATAAGATAGCAGTCCTCCAAAAAAATAATTAGACAACTTTTTTCTTCCTGATATCAAATGAATTATACATGCTATTTTCCATTGGGGAGAAAGCCAAAAACAAAACTTTTCTGATCATAAGTTTGCCAGACTTGGTGGGAAGTGGGAGGTGATCGCGCAAGACCAACTCTACAGGAGACACTTGGGCAAGGTCTACACGACAAACGTTTGTTGGTATAACATCGGTTAGGGGCATGATTTTTTTTAAATGACATTTTTATATAGGCACATGGCCCAGTGATGACACAGTTATAATGGTATAAAAGTGCTTTTGCCAGAATAGTTTATTTTGTTTGGTATGAAGCTAAACCAGTAAAAATGTGCTTTTGCCAGTATAAGCTGAGTCTACACTAGGAGGATTTGCTGGTATAGCTATATGGAAACCCTTTCTAGTGTAGGCTAGGCCTGAGTGCCTGGATCCTTTACACAATAGACTGTGGCTGAACGCATGGCACAGTTTGCAAATTTGCAGTTGTAATTCACAATGGCTATCAGCTATTTTCCAAGTTTTACAAGAAGGGGACTTCCCATTATTCCTAACTTTTGCAGGTCCAATGACAGAGCTACAAGTCTGCATAAAATATCACCACTGTGCTGTCAAAAAGTGGTGTCACTTTAAGGAGTCAAAGGGGTCAAACTGGGAGGGGAGATGGCAGCACTCTTCAGACCTCTAATCACAGGAAAAGCTCAGCTTACATGAGGTGCCAAAAATCAAGCTGCTCACAGTAGATTGCACAGATGTTCAAAATGCAACCATGCACTCCCCTAGATCTCCTTGATGCCTTCCCTCCCCTAACCCCACAAAAATCAAAAGTGGTGGCACTCTTCCAAATACACCAAAACCAAGAAATCTTCTCACCCATCCTCTTTCTTAGGCCTTGTCTACGTAAGGGAGTTGCATTGGTTTAATTTTAGTTGTTTTTTTTTTAAAACCTGTTTAATTATACCAGTGCAGAAAGCTCTTATTTTTGTTTAGTTTAAACCTATTTCTAATTGATTTAAGATGAACCGATTTGAACAGAAATCAGGGAGTGCTCACACCGCCTTTTGCACCAGTTTAAATAAAGGTGTGATTTTTAAACTGATTTAAACTGGTATAACTTGGTTTACACGAGGCCTCAATAAGAAACAAAATTAATTATTGGGCAGCTGAGTTAACACTCGCTGAGAGGAATGAGGCAGTTCACACCTGTCAGAGCTTTGGTTCCAGGCTTTCTGTATACTCATCCAGGATATACTCTCCACTGCAGAGTAACTTGGGCTTTTGTATTGTCCCCAACCCCACTGTCACCCACAAACAAAACTCTCATCTGAATTTAGTGATGCTTTAATCCCAGGCAAGCTGGTCTGGCTGAGGGTTAGAGCACAGGTGCAACTTTCACCTGGTAACTTAGATGATCAGCATCCAAGTTAGCTTGACCTGAGAGTGAGCAGCCACACCACAAAGCTATTCCCAAGTGCCCTGTCCTCGCTGGTGCTGCACTCACGTCTGGGTGTTGCTAGGACTCTGCAACTAGGATACAGTAGAGGTGGGCAAACTACGGCCCGCGGGACCCTCCTGCCCAGCTCCTGAGCTCCCGGCCCGGGAGGGTTGCCCCCAGCCCCTCCCCCGCAGCCTCAGCGAGCCATGCTGCCGGTGCAGTGTATTAAACTGCTCCGTGTAGGAATGTGCTACTGGTAGCGGTTACGGAGAGCAATTTACTACACTACACCAGCGCCACACTCTGGGCGGCATGGCTGTAGCGCTGCCAGCCTCCGGTGCTCTGTGCTGTGTGGTAAGGGGACAGGGAGGTTGGATAGAGGGCAAGGGAGTTTGGGGTGGTGGTCAGGGGTCCCGGGTGGGCAGTCAGGAAGGAGGGGGGTTGGATAGGGCAGTGAGGGTCAGGGGTTCCAGGGGCGATCAGGGGACAGGGAGCAGAGGGAGAGGGGGGCTGGATGGGGCAGGAGTCTGGGGGGGGGGGAGGCGCCATCAGAAAACAAGGGGGGCTGAATGGGGCAGGAGTCCGGGGGGGGGGGCGAGGGCCATCGGGGAGCAAGAAGCAAGGGGGGGGGGCAGATGGGGGCGGGGGCACAGCCTCCCCTAACAGGCCCTCCATACAATTTCTGAAATCCGATGTGGCCCTCAGGCCAAAAAGTTTGCCCACCCCTAGGATAGAGGCTAACCAGTCACATGCTGATAGTCCTCCAGTGCCTTCCCACCATTCTCCTGGGTGCCCAGGAGGATAGACAAGTTCTCCCACAATTCAGTGGGAAAGAATCAGAGCAGCTCAGCTTACTGCAGTGCAAGTAGTTGTGGGATATGCCCCCAGAAGCCCTAGTGACCCGTGGGGGAGTACAGCATCAGCTAGGCCACAGTAACTCAGGTATGGCTTTGCAATGTGGCTGCTCACACCGCACCAACCTCTTCTCGGGGGGCTGGGGGAGAGCACTGAGGTGGGGTAGACAGAAAATTGGGGGGCTATGCCCCCCTCACCACAAGACCCCACCCTTCTCTATGGCCCCACTCCCTGCTCCTCCTCAGTTAAATGCTGGCCCCACCTCTTCCCCACAAAGCCCCACCCCCTGGCCAAGCTGGAAGCCTGAGCTGGGCAACGCGGGGCAGCTGCTGCGCTGGCTGGTGTCACAGTGTGGGTGGCCACAGCTCTCCCGCATCTCTTGCTGCTGCTCAAGGCCCCAGGGCTGCAGCTCCTCCTCAGCTCCCCACTGCCCTTTCATTGCTCATAGCCTGTAAGGCAGGGGGACTCAGCTCTAGGGCCAACAGAGCCCTTGGGGAGCAGTGAGTGCGAGGGGCCCCAGGAGCCCGGGCTGGAACGGGCCAGCCCAGGCCACGGGGAGTCCTGGATCCACCACCTGCCCTGGGCAGCTCACCCCAGCAGGCGGGAACACAGGCCAAGGCTGCGCTCAGGCACCCCAAACCCCTGCCTAGGCTTATTTCTGTGCTGTTGCTGGCAGCGGTGCTGCCCTCAGAGCTGGGTGGCTAGAGAACAGTGGCTGCTAGCTGGGAGCCCAGCTCTGAAGGCAGGGCTGCTACCAGCAACAGAAGTACCTGTATAAGGTTTCATCTTTGCACTGGGAGGGGTGGCTACAGGGGAGCGAAGGAAAATTTTGGGGTGAGCCTCTTCCCCTTTTAATTGCATATATTGGTTCTGAAAACAAAAGTGATGCGTGCTTTAGAGCAGCAGCTTCGGAACTTCACTGGTTCACATATCATCATCTTAAACAAAACCAAACCAAACCTTAAGTGAATGGATGGAACATCAAGCGGATATACCAATAGTGGTACACGTACCAGAGCTTGGGAACTTCTGCTTTAGAGGGATTGAAATTGCTTCCAAAACCAAACTGGGTCAAACTTGCAATGATACAGGGAAACCAGTTGCATCTTCCCAGGGCATTATTCTTGGCGCACTAGATCAGTTGTTTCTCAACCTTTTTGATACCAGGTACCAGCTTGCTACCTTCCTAAACTGTGTCAGAGAAATCTCAGGGACCGGCAAGGAGGCTGCCACGGTCCGGCACCAGTCCGTGGACCGGTTGTTCAGAAGCATTGCACTAGATCAATCAGATCACTTCCAGGTCCTGTACAGGATTGAGAAAGGGGATCAGAGTGACAAAGTGGGAACAATACAGAACTGAGGGCAACGAGATGGTCCTTGTCCTCCTCCACACAAGGTCTCCTCCAAGACTAAAATCTACATTTTAGGGTTGCACTTTCACGTCAACACTTCCCCACCCTTCCACTGAGATGAGCAATTTGGTGGCTTTGGCAACCTCAGTGCTCTCAAGAGGACGACGACGACGACACTGGAATAAAGTGACTGTATAGTAGCCTAATTTAAGGGTGGGAAAAAAAGTGAGAAGCACCAGCTAAAGTTGTTTTGACTTAATCCCACGGAGAGTCAGGAAAAAGGAAGTTGTGTGGCACTCACTTAAAAAGTTACAATGTGAATGCCGAATGCCATGGTTTATATATTGTATCTGACAGATTTCAGGTTATGTATTCCCTTTTACACTAAATAAAAGCCATTAAAAATATCCAGGAATAAAACGCTCAACCAGTTAGTGAGCTTTCTACGAAGCAAGAACACGTACAAATACAGCGGAAAGAAAGCATTGCACAAACCAGAAGTGTAATGAGTTACAACTGTAGACAGACCCCAACCTTAAGAATAACCTTTCACATCACTTTGCATTATTTAAGAACGCTTGCTAACATGCCCTGTAATTGCAGAGTAAGTATGATGCCATTGGCATGTGCATAAGCCTCTCCTTTATAGAAAGCTCACTAATAATAGTGTCATTGTAAGAATAATAATTACTTTATACAGGAAGCAGAGATCACAAGGCCATGCAGCAATACGTACTTATACCCTATGGAGAGGACCAAGTATTATAAGAGCTCCTACTGTGTAGCGTTAGTGTGGGGCTGCTAACACCGGAGTTCCTTGCTGTGCAGACTTGCCAGATTTTACCCACAGGTGTAACTGGTTCTAGAAGTCCCTGTGCTTAAGCAGGATATTGATGAAATGGAGCGCTATCTGGGAGCTTTTGAAAGAAAGTCGAGGCAGTATGGAGGAGTGAGGAAAAATTAAGGCAGATGTAGCACAGGACTGGAAGCGTTTGCCTTTTTTTGGTAATAGCTGCTTGTCCACATAGATCTGATGCAGATGGCTGTCTGAGGTTTGCTAATACCTGATATCCTGGAAAACACAGTAGTCAAACACAAATTGTTCTAGGCTACACGAGCTTCTCATGAAGCAGATGCATATCTGACATCAAGAACAGAAGTAGCCTAGAGGGAAAAAGAAGAGACATTTGTTTAACTGTACACACACACACACACACTCTTCCAAACTTTGCTCGAAGTGTAAGATACTGAAAGCAAAGACAGACAGACAACTCTGATATACAGCAAGCAGCGTCCTTTGCTCTGAGATGAAACAGGACTTATTGATTGTAAATAAATAAAGCTAAACTCAGCACTAAGGCTACTTTATCGTCAGTGATTTCACAGGAAGCGTAAAGGTGACTGTTTGCCATGAAAAAACAATTCCAGGGAAAACCAAGGAAAGATGGGTTACTCATCTTAGATGTAGTACTTGTGGCACCTTGGAGACTAAGGTGCCACAAGTCCTCCTTTTCTTTTTGCAGATACAGACTAACACGGTTGCTACCCTGAAACCTGTCACCTTAGATGTGTTGCACACATGCTCCATATGCCTCAGACAAGAAATTTTTCCTTAGCAACGTCTGTCTGGTCCGTGTATGTGCCCCTGCTCTCCTTGTGCTCTGCACCAAGAGAACAAAGGGGGCTGCCAGACCCCCTGCCATTTTGTTTCTTCTCTACTGGCAGTTCACAGTAAGGGAAAACCAGGCAGTGACAAAGAGCACTATCCTCCCCCCTTCACACAGGGCCACATAAACACGCCTTTAAGAACTCAGGTTACCACAAGGCGAGCAACCCATCCTTCTGTGAGTGACTGTCACTGTGTGTAGTGCACTTCAGGTGCTTCACAAGCTACATCTCTTTAAAGAAGATGGGTGCCTGGAACCTTATGACACAATAGACCGCAGAACTCCCCTAACTTAGAGAAGCAGTTGCTTACACCAGTGCATAATGCCTAGAAGTGGAGTTCGTGAACAGAACTCCACCTTGCTGTCAGCTGATGTCAGTAAAAGGGCCATCGCTAATGGAAGCTATCGATGCTGCCTGAGCTCTAGTTGAGTGCACACTGATATGCTACCTTTGAGGAAACGTTCATCTTGTAGCAGAGAAGGATGCTCCCTGAGATCCATTTAGTGTCTGGGAGGAAATGACCTCTCCTTTCACACACCCTGCGAATGACAGAGTCTAGGACAGTGGTTCTCAGCTCACCTAGATATTTGCCTAGTTTTACAACAGGTTACATAAAAAGCATGAGTGAAGTCCATACAAACTAAAATTTCATACAAAACGAGAAAGTAAGCAGATTTTCAGTAATAGTGTGCTATGACTCTCTTGTATTTGTAAGTCTGATTTTGTAAGTAAGTAGTTTTTAAGTGAGGTGAAACTTGGGGTACGTAAGACAAATCAGACTCCTGAAAGGGGTACACTAGTCTGGAAAGGTCTAGGAGACTTTTGAAAAGATTTTATTCTTTGCGGATAAGGCGTAAGAGCCCTATGCACATCCAGTGGAGTGTCACACCACCTCTTCCCTGCTGGAATAAGGTTTTGGGTAAAACACAGGTAGATGGGTGCTTTGGTGGATATGAAAGTCCAACACCATCTTAGCAATGAACTTCAGATGTAGTCCCATATATACCTTGTCCCAGTGCAAAACTGTGGGGGTGGGAACAGAGGAGGGAGGTGGTCAGCCATGAAAGCACCTAGCTCCCGACTCTTCTGGCCATCATCATGACCAAAAATGCTACCTTCATAGAAAGGGGTAGCAAGGAGCTGGATCCCAGGGGCTCAAGTGGTAATTTAGTAAGGGCTGATAAAACAAGGTCCAAGTCCCAGGCTGGTACAAGTCTAGCCTCTGGAGTGAAGACTTGAATCATACCCTCCAGGAAGCTGGCGGTGACTGGGTGGGAAAAATAAAGGGTAGGTGTCTGCCAATGGATGAAGGGCTGCCAGTTTTACCCTGGGAGAGCTAACAGCAATCCTGGACAAAAGTTAGTCCAGTATGCCTGGAATCTCTGCCTGTAAGGGTGTAGTTCCTTGTCTGTTATATCACAATTTCAATCTTTCCCATTTTGCTTTGTAACCTTTCCTGGTAGTATCCTATCTACTGCTGCACAGGACAGCATGGATGTCAGCCAAACAGGCCTTTTCTAACTGTGACATCCAACCAAATACCATGCCTTCAGGTGAAACATGGCTGGGTTGGGGTGGCAAGTCTGTCCTTCATCCTGGCTTAATAGTTGACACATCAGGGGAAGACAGAGAGGAGACTGGACGGACAGCTGAAAAGCATGGAGTGTACCGGAACTATCAGGCCCAACCCAATGCTAGGAGGATGGCTTGCACCTTGTCTTGTCTGATCGTCTTCAACACCTGAGTTAAGAGAGAAATCTGTGTGTGTCGATCTCAGGGCCCTGACTATTGCATCACCTAGACAGCCTGTGCTACAACTCCCTCTGAAGCACAAGTCTTTGGCCTTGTTCACATGGGATGCAGAGATTTGTGGATGAGACACCCCACACTCAAAACCCCTCCCAGACAGGGGAGCGCAGCAGCTTCCACTTGTGTTCTGTGGAGAAATGTCCGCTCAGAGAATCCGCTAGGGATTGTGGATCTCTGCCAGGTGTGCAGTGGCCAAGATAATCCACCTGGGAATGCACCAGTTCCAAAGGGCAACGGCCTCCACACAAAGCTGGGAGGAGCACGCTCCTCCCTGCTTGTTGACGTAGGAGACTGCTGCCACATTGTCTGATAACACCATTCTGAACTTTAGGTGATGGATGAACTTGTTTAGTTCCTTAGAGTCCAGAATGGGTCTTCATCACCCTGTCTTCTTGGGGATGAGACAGTACCTCAAGTAGAACTCCTTTCCCCATGCTGTTGGGAGATACTAGTTCTAGCACCCCCAGTTGAAGGAGCAACTCTGCCTCCTGCTGAAGAATGGTCTTGCGAGGGATCCCTGAAAGAGAAGGGGATGGGGGAGGGGAGGGAAGAGAACTGGATCGTGTACTCAAGGAAATGACTTCTAGTACCTTCAGTCTGTCATGATTTCTGTCCCAGTAAATAGGGAGTGGGAAAGTTGGTCTCCAAAGGAAGGGGGAAAGGAAACAAACAAAACAAAACCACCCCCCACCCCACAGTGTGTTTGTGTAGATCTGCAGGAACAGCTAATGCATGGCTGTCAAAGTTTCCATTAAAACACCAGTTTCAAAGGTGGCAATGGTTGGGAAGTGAGAGACTCTTAACCTAGGGCACCCTTTCTATGCATTGTTTGACACTTGCACATCCTAGGCAACGAGCAGTAAGAAGGAACTGAGATGATAGTAGTCCACCAGCCCTCTCTATTCCCTTAGTGAGAACATGAGGCGAGCAGGGGCATATGTGTGGACCACACTGACAGAGCCAGGGAAAAATCTCTGGTCCTAGGAGCATGTGCGACCTGATGGGCACTACACATAGGAACAATCAGTTGAAGAACCAGAACTTGGATAGGGGTTTTGGGTGCACTTACTGGGCAGGGGCAGAGAAAAGCCACAGATGAGGGTATGGCTGAAGTAGAGAGTGGAGGAGATCAATGGGGTCCTGTGCCGGGCCAGCTAGCATTCTTGTATGCACTATCAGACTGATCCTGCAGAACAGACCAGCAGAGCCACAGAGGCAAAGTGCTGAGAACCCCAGGACTGGGTCTGCCCCAATGGTGCACTGCTATACAGGAGGGAGGGCACAATCTCCTTCCTGCCCTATACAGAACTAACCTCTCTTAGCTCATAAAACTATACAAAATATGGGCAAACTGATCCGGCTCTTTTGGAAGTTCAGCTCCAGGGCTGGATTTAGTTTCCTCTGAAGGCAACGAACAGCATATGTTGACTACCTGCTCCGTGAAGTAGCAATTGTTCAGATAGATTTTGGGCCATTAATTTCACGGAACAACAACATTGCATCCCACACTCTTGTACTGGCAGGCAGGGCAAAAAGCAAGGACTGGTCTGTTTTCAAAACTCCCTCCATAAGGTCAACTCTTCTGCCTCCTTCCAGCAAGACATACCCAACAAACGAGCAGGAAGAGAGTGGAATCTTAGGTTGGCACATGGTTTATGTATGCCTTTATCACATGCCTTTTATTTTAGAAAATATGATGCATGACCCTAACTAATTTGTTCTTGGTTTGTGGCCAGTTACTAGTACTGGCACATCATTGTGCATTAAATGTTAAATCAAAAGGAGACAGGCATGTTTTAAACCTCTTGGTTCTGAAGCACCACTTGAGTAGCATGCCAGAACCTCTTCTACAGAAAAGGCTTCATCAGCACCATAACCCATCTGACATTGATTAAGCAAGCAGCAAACCAAGACCGGTATTCAACTGTTTATTTTGTTACCTTACCCTGCCACCCCTCCAGCCAGTTTGTCCATTGTAACCTCCTATCACATCCTGTGTCACCTAGACTGCCAAGTTCTTCCTGGTCACTGGTCTGTGCAGTGCCTAGGAATGCCTGACCCTGGATCCTTGGCACTACTTTACTGAGCTGCAAGTAAATAATAATTCAACTCTTTATGGCAGTCGTTCCTCTCAGTTCTGCCTCCTCTCTTCCTCCCTTGGCTTAAAGGGGCCCTGCTGCTACTCTCAGGATCCACTTTCCAGTCACATCTTCCTGCCTCTACTGATGTACCCAACCCATCCTCTCTCTGCTCCAAGCTACCTCTGCACAATACTCCCACCTTCTCAATGGAGAAAAGTGTAATGTATCCTACTCCACCCAACCCTCCTACCTCCTCAGCAGCTGCTCCACTTGGCTTTCACATCCCTACTCTCCTGCCACTTAGCCTCTCCCCCCTCCTCTCACTCCATCCAACCCTGCTCTGTACTAGCCACCAACTCCAGGCTGGCCTTCCAGAGCCCTTGTGCCTCCTGGAACGGACCCCAAGCTTTTAGCTGTTGCTACACACTGTAAATACCTCCTTCTGTATCCACCCATTCCCTTCCAGTCTGAAGGGAGATTCCACCTTTTAAAAAGTTAATTTAGGAACAAGGGTTAATCTGAGGCCAGGATAACTCCTAAGCCTTAGGGCCTAAGGAATTGAGAGGGGGGGGGGGGGTGTTTTCAACAATCAGTAACACTGACTAATACACAGTAGCTCCTTATCCATGATGGGTAGAGACACCTGGCATCAAACAGGTAACTTGTTCCTGGCTACATATTTGAAATACATTATAGAGCTGGAACAAAGGCACAACAGAAGGTAGGGGTGTGTGTGTGTGTGTGTGTGTGTGTGTGTGTGTGTGTGTGTGTGTGTGTGTGTGTGTGTGTGTGTGTGTGTGTGTGTGTGTGTGTGTGTGTGTGTGTGTGTGTGTGTGTGTGTGTGTGTGTGTGTGTGTGTGTGTAATTATTCACCTTCCTACAGAAAGGGTCTTTGCCAAGCTCTGGATATTTTTATGTAGGGACATTAATTAATGCACTCAAGGACACCTTTAAGAGTGGCCTGAAATATCAGTAGGACTCATGCAGCAATGAAGTGGTGTTCATTGTGTACCTAAAGTTAACGGCTCGTGCTGCATGAGCTAACCAAGCATGGTAAGAACAGCTGAGAAACACCACAAGCAAGGATGGTGACAGAAACCTTTAGTTCAGTAGGAGCCAAATTCTGCCATAGGTCACGTGCGCAAGCATCTCAAGCCATGTCTACACCACAAGCACTATAGTGGCATAGCTATGGTGCCACAGCTATGCCGCCGTAACCCCATAGCATAGACACCCGACAGCAGAAGGGGTTTTTCCATCGCTGAAGGAACTCCACCTCCCCAAGTGATGGTAGCTAATTGATGGAAACATTCTTCCACGGACTTAACTGTGTCTACAGCAGGGGCTAGGTTGGCATAGCAACAGTGCTCAAGAGTGTGGAGTTTCACACATCTGAGCCGTGTAGCTAAGTCAATTTAAGTTTTAAGTGTAGACCAAGCCGAAGGGTAGAATTTACTACTGGATAAAGTTCTCTAGTATGAATTAGGACTAGGTCAAAGACAGCCCAAAGTCCAGTTCATGTTTTGGTTTTCCTATTGCACAACTATCATTTATATTAAATCTTGTAAATAAAATATCATATTTAAGAACTGTAAAGAGCCTGGGTTATCTTTAAAGGCACAGTCTGTGGAGAAATATTATCAAGAAAGAGACAGATGGAACAGTCCCATTGCACCCGTCTACTCAGAAACCCCATGAAGTCACCAGGAGTCTCGCTCATGGAGCAGCTCTGGGATTGAGCCCAAAACAAGCTGTTTTCACAATCCCACCTTGTTATTTATATAGCCCTTTGGGCATACACATACACACAAACACGTAAGGTTTCCGTCTTAGAAATTTACACCCGAGTCCAAAAAACCAAACCCTAGACTAAGAGTTGAGGAATTTAAGTCCAGCTAAAGCATCCAACTGAGCTACAGAAATAAATGAGGGTGAGAGAATGCCAGTGACAGTCACAGATATTGCCAGAGCCTGCAAATCAGGAGGTCTCTTATCACCTTAAGTTACACCTGGAATTCCCAATATTGTCACTGGGAACTGCATACACAGGAGAAATTTGCTCAAATACTTTATTTCGTATATATACACACACAAGAAAATAAGTTGGTTGAAAGCTGTGAAAAATGGCTGTTAACAGTTTGGACTTCATTTATGTATTTGAACCTAAAAGCAACCAGCATTTTACAGTCCCAAACGCTTTAGTCACAGATTTACCTCATTTTCCTCTTCTGACATTTTAGTGGAATTGTCAGGCGATTTTACGGGCTTTTGGTTACTAGGTCCATTTGTCTCCTCTTTGCCATGTTCTGCTTCCCACTCCTGTAGAACTTCATCTATGTTGAAACGACGCCGGTAACTTACAAAAAAATGTTTCACTTGCACCACGGATTTATTTCCAATCACATCAGAGATTGCCTGGAAATCTCTACCATACTTCCTGATTGCTGAAAACGGAAGTAGAAGAATTATATAAGCAGTGACAGCAACTAGAGATGGGCATGAGCCACACTGCAAGGATCCAATGCTGAATTTCCCCAAGGTTTGGGCCCATCTCTGGTTACACCACCATGAAAGATGATACAAAGTTGGGAATGGGAGAAAGAGACGGATGATAGAAGAGTTGGGAGCGGAGACAGAGAGAGACAGAGTTGTATATAAAAAAGGAGTCATGTAGGATGAGCCAAACCAGAAGTGCTAAACTCACCAACTCTACCTGTAAGTTACATGTATAAGCAACCTGGCAGTGACTGCACTAAGAGTGTCACTGTCTAGAAGCAGGTGAGTGATCGGTTTGCCCAAATGAATACTGCATGCCATGCGTCATAAAAGGGAAGGAGTATTAACCCCTCTTTCTTTGGCAACAATATACAGTAATGTCAAGATTTTCCATTAGCCACTGAAGGAGAAATCCCAGCTTGATGTGCAGTAGGGTTCAACTGTACATCACCTGCTGAAGTAGGAAAGGTTTATAGTTCCATACCTTGCACAGCAAGAAGCTGCTCATCTGTGGTCCAACGTGCATTAAATTTCTGAACGACCTAGGTGTCATAAACAAAGTAATTCATTTACTTAAGCAATGGACTTTCACTCATATCGGAGTTTGTAATTTCTTGTCTGAATGCAGCAGTGAACTAATTCTAGATCCTTCCAATAGGGTATTTTTCTTCCTATTAAAATATTGTATTATTCCTTATTGTTAACTGACAAACAAATTGATTCCATAGTTAACTGTTAACATGACACAGAAGTGTGGGGCTTCGTCCATGCTCTGAGTACAGGACTAGGAGTTAGAGGGAGTTCCTCTTTCTATTTATTGGCGTTGCCCACCAACTCCCTCTGTGATCTCAGTCAAGTTTCTTATAGCCTGATTATTAGAGGTGCCAAGTACCGAGATCTCCCATTAACTCTGATGGAAATTGTGGGTGCTCAGCAGTTCTGTCAGTCAGGCCATTAACTTCTCTGGCCAGTCCCCCATTCTGTGGAATGGGCTAATAATTACCGCTCTCAGAAGGGTGTTATGACAACACTCGGACGAATATGGTGACTGCGAAGTATTACCAGCAATCTGAATGTTTATATTTGAAACAAGTTTTACAACCAGCCAAATACAGATTGAAAGTTGCCTGCTGGTACCCTCTTCCACCCTCCCCTCTCGCAAAGGCCAATTACCATTAGATTGGTCTCTAGGTTAGCTGGCAGTAGATAGAATGATTGTATCTACATAGTGCCAGCTATGACATTTAAGCAAAAATTAGGACTTGATATTAGGAAATGCAGAAGAGATGCATACATAGCAGTGTGTGAACTGGCATACCTCTGGAAGTCTGTATTGTTCTATTCCACCTTCAAGTTTTTCTTTGAGAGCGCTATTTGTCTGCTTGATATTTTGAATCTGGGCCGGGGGGGGGGGGGGAGAGGGGGGGAGAGAAAAAAGAAGCAGTGACTTTCAGCAAGGATAAAAATGGTTCAACAAGCCCTGTCCCAGCCACCCTTGTGAACACCCTACCAGCTTGACTTTGCAGCTCTCCCTGAATCCTCTTTTTATGAAAGAAGATTCATCTGTACCCCAAGTACAAGAAACATCTGGGGCGATTATTAAATCTATTTATACTGTAAGCTCTTTGGAGCAGGGTCTGTTTCTTATTCTATGTTTGTACAGTGCCCAGCATAAGGGGACCCCATCCTCTGCTGGCCCTCGGTACTACCTTAAAACAATAACACACACAATAGTAATTCAAAGCTAAAAATGACTATAGTAGTTTGAAATGGACCTGAACCAGCTCTAAATTCTGAAGTCAAGGGAGTGTTCAGATCTAGGACATAGGCAAAAGGACTAAACCCAGGAAACGATTCATTAGCACTTCTGTCTTGGCTTTTAGATGTACAGAGAACATTTACCATGAATCAGTTTAAGACTGATCTACTGGCGGTGCAGAAATACGTGGGGAAACTTGCCCAGCACCTGCCTGCAGAAAACACATGTCAAACCACAGCAGAATCTCAGCTTCGCATTTTGAGCTGATGCCAAAACTTCCAAAAGGTGAAGGTCCAATTAAAAAACTAAACAAAACCCCCACCCTCTCCCCTGTCGCACAAGCTCCACAGACACAGAGTGAAGAACTGTGTTTGCACCCAATGCAAAGTTCAGCTCCATCATGTTTGCCAGCATGGGGGGGAAACACGACGGAGGACACTGAAGAGATGCATTAGGGCTGTAGGAGATGCCACAGAAGAGATCTATAGCCAGAAGTGGAGAGCGGCTCTGGCTATTCCAAAGGTGACATGAGAAAAACGTGAAGAAAGCTAAATACGGTAGATGCAAAGCAGTTACTGCTGGAAGATACACCACCCAAAGCAAAATTCAAGTTCAAAAATACGAGCAACACCAGGTTAAAAGGCAGACAGAGGGCTGACAAACTCTTTGGATCACAATGAACTATTTCTTGCTGCTTTGTAACTACAAAACTAGATTTAAACAGTCCTGGGCTAATTCACTTTGGTAGGCTGGCAGCTTGTTAATTAAGCCACATCCTGTTGTAAGCCATCACAGCCACGCTATAAATCCCCCGTAACAACCCACGTGGTGACCGACAGCAGCACCTTTAAAATATCAGAGGACAAATCTACTCCTGAGCTGTCTTTGGAGTGGTTCCTACCTGTCGCTTGATTGAGACCAATTCCATGTCCAGTTGTCTGAGCACAGTGGTAGCAGCAGTGGCATTGGCAGAAACTGCCTCCACGTCCTCTTGAGAAAGGAACATTCCTTTGGGAGGTTTCCTCTTCGCCCTGTTTTTAGCCTGTGTACTGTGCTTCTCCTTCTTCACCGGAGGCATCGTCTCAGGTGGCGGCACCTGGGAAGCAGACATTTTACACAACCTCTGTTCTCAAAAGAAAGACAGACTCTCAAGGAGACTGAAGTCGACGGGGTTTAGGCTCTTTAGTCACAGAGATGCCTTTGAAAATTACATCTCATCCTTCCGTTCTGGTGGAACACAGTAAGTTGCAAAGTAACAGGAATTAAATCCTTTGTGTGACAACATCATGCTATGGGGCACTGTGATCACAAATAAATGATACCACATCAATCTTTTCTACACGACAATAGTGTCTTTCCAGATACAGATATTTCTGTTGCTTTTTTAGTTGGCTTCCATTTCTGGTACAAGTGCCTAATCATCAGTTAAATGTCATGGCCAGGCCTCAATGGGTTAGTTTAATTCATTCCCAAAAGGAAATTCAATTTGATGGGGTGAGGGTGGGTGAACACAACGTAAGAGTTGTGCCAGACACAAGGAAAAAACAAATGCAACCCAATTCAAGATTGAACATGAGGGTTGAGGTGACTGCAAAGTAATTCTTAAGAACAATAATTTTTAAGGAATTTTTACCCACTTTATTTTAGTACAGTGCTAACAAACAAGATACAGAGTTTTACCTGTTTGAGGAATTCAAACTAGAAAGATCTCTTTTCCAGGAAGGAGGGAGAGGAGAGAGTAGGATGGTAGCATGGGGAAGGGGATATATTTCACACATATTAACCTCACATTCTACAAAGAATTAGATACCAAGCTGATCTATTTTGACCCAAAAAAGCTATAAATATTTCCCCACCTCTGTCTATAATCAGAGATATCTTCCGGCAAACCACTAATTTTTCTAACCGTTTCAGCAGTTTATTACATGGAAAAATCATTTTATTACCCCTCACACTCCCATCAAAAAGCACATTTGAATCTCTTTAATATCACCTCCAAAAAAGATCATATGTTAACTTGCACACCAAAAAAAATCCTCCATCCTAAGATTAAAGTTGTTGTATAGAGGCTGGAATAGTGCCAAGAACTTTAAAGAAAAAAAAAAAAAGAAAAGAAATGAAATGAGACAGGAGAGGATCCAAAATTGCATTCCTGTATGTGCTCATCTGCAAGTTAAAATACTGGATATGAGTCTGGTTAGTGACACCTTATAACTGCAAATCAGGAAGAAAGTTTCTTCACGCTGTGCAGCGTCCATTTGCTAATTAGAAATCTTTAAACACTGAACACACATATGCATGAAGGCTCACCGAATGAGGATCCAAATCCATCAGGCCCTAAGTGTCTAAGCCAGCCCAGGAGCAAGAAGCTATTCTGTTTAGGGAATCTGCCTACACAGATCTCCGTGCACCGGGGGAGTAGGAGAACAGCAGAAACACACTACAATAGCCAGACAGATTTAATGATGGACCAGTGAGGCAAGTTTTGCATTCAGCTTTAGAAGTGAGAGCTTTGATAACGAAGTCAGGAAAATAGTTTGAAGTGGATTAGAGGTTTCAGATTGGTGAGTATTTCATCTACACACGGAAATTCACAGGCCTGTGCATAAATCTAGTACAATGGACTCAAGCTACAGGATGACAACATGCAGCATCAGCAACGTGAATCTCCCATGAGGCTGAACATCAAATGTTTATTCCTCTGTAAGTGTAAGTAACTTCAGATTGTTATTCTAACTGAGTTCACAGAATATGCAGCTGCTCTCTATTATGGACAATAGCTTTTGACAGCTCCAAGCACATTGAGACCCTTAGTATATCGTGCAGGCATTGAGAATTTAAATATCTAACCTATCTTGGAAAAGTTGCTTTGCTGGCCCTAGGTATACCTTTGTAGAATTCAATCAGTTTAAAAACCCACAGAAAAGAATCTGGATGTCAACATGGGGATCTCCAGGGCTTATATAGTGTCACAGATATACACAAGTGTTCATAGATAGAAGACAAGGTCTCTGTACCAAGGCTAAGGATTTAAATTAAAAAAAAGTAAAGCTCTCTCATACCACTTAGTTAATGTCTTATTTTCTTTGCTTTCTGACTCCAGGAAAGGAGAGGAGTTAAGAAAAAACGGTTACAGTTTCATAACTGTTGTTCTTCGAGATGTGGGGCTCATGTTCATTCCATTCTAGGTGTGTGCGCGCCCACATACGTGGTCGCCGGTGATTTTTGCCTTAGCGGTATCTGTAAGGCTGGCAGTGGTGCCCCCTTCAGTGCTGCGCTCATGCGTCAGTATATCAGTGCCGCTGGGCCTATGCTCTCTCAGGTCATTCTTGCCGGCAACTCCAACAGAGGAGCAGGAGGGCGGGTAATGGAATGGACATGAGCAACACATCTCGAAGAACAACGGTTATGAAAGGTAGGTAACCGCTTTTTCTTCTTCCAGTGCTTGCTCACGTCGATTCCATCCTAGGTGACTCACAAGCAGTGTCCAAGAAGGTGGGCTTGGAGTTCACAGTCTTGCAGCGTGCAGCACTGCTCTGCGAAGCCAGCATCGCCCCATGCCACAGGTGGGAAAATTACGGCCTGCGGGCCACTTCCGGCCCGCGGGCCTGTCCTGCCCAGCCCCTCCCTTGCAGCCTCAGCGTGGCGCCAGCACTCTGGCCCGCCTCTCCTGCCAGGCAGTGTAGGTAGTGTGCCTGGCTCTGGCCGGGCAGCGGGGCTGAGAACTCCTGCTGCTCTGAGCAACATGGTAAGGAGACAGGAGGGTGAGTGGGACGGGGAACAGGGGGCGTTGGATAGGCGTGGGAGTCCCAGGGGGGCCTGTCAGGGGCGGGGGTCCTGGGAGGGAGCAGATAGGGGGCGGGGGCCAGGCTGTTTGGGGAGGCACAGCCTTCCCCACACAGACCTCCATACAGTTTCTCAACACGGATGTGGCCCTCGGGCCAAAAAGTTTGCCCACCCTTGCCCCATGCTGTAAAGTGCAACACCGCCAGGTTTGGTTTCAAAAGACTGCCATGGTTCTGGGACAGCAGGTCTGGCCAGAAACACAGCCGCAGCAAGGTGGCTACCGAAAGGTCCAGCAGCATGCTGAACCAGTGCTGGCGAGGCCACTCACGGGCTATCAGGATGACCTTCGTCCTGTCTGGTCTGACCTTCAGGAGGACTCTGTGGATCAATGGCACTGGCGGGAAGGTGTACATCAGGGTCTCCAACCACGGGAGCAGGAAAGTGTCTGACAGGGAACCCCTGTCCATCTCCCGGAGTGAACACCTGGCGTTTCCTGTTCTACCGGAACGCGAACGAGTCCATCTGGTGAGTCCCTCACTTTTGGAAGAGAATACTGAATACTCTGGATGGAGTGACCACTCGTGGCGAGACGAGACCGTCCTGTTGAAGCAATCTGCAAACATGTTCCTGGTCCCAGGCAAATGCATGGCTACCAGATGAATGGCCTGCTGCACACAAAAATCCCAAAGGCGGAGAGCTTTTTGGCAAAGGCCGATGACTTGGTTCTGCAGTTGTTTCGTCCATGAGGACCTGAACCACCTTGCCCCTCAGGTGGGGCAAGAAAGCCTGGAAGGCCAGGCAAACCGCTTTGAGCTCCCTGATGTTGATATGGAGGGCCAGATCATCTTGCAGCCAGTGGCCTTGCATGCTGAGCTCGCTCTGGTGGGCTCCCTAACCCAGGTCCGAAGCATCGGAGACCAGGGTCAGCGATAGGGACAGGGCCGCAAAGGGAACTCCCTGCAGCACCAACCCGGGGTTCATCCACCAATCTGGGGACGATAAGATGTGATCCAGCACCCTGACTACCTGCTCTAGGTCATGACTGACCATGTATGTACAGGCGGCCATGTGGCCCAACAACCGCAGCAGGTGTGAGCCATGGTGAGCGGGTGGTTCTTCACATGGGAGATCAGGTCCGACATGACCTGAAAATGCACCTCCGGAAGGAAGGCTCTGGCTCGCGTGGAGTCGAGAAGTGTCCCAATGAACTCTATTTGTTGAACTGGCCTTAAGGTGGATTTTTTCTCATTTGCCAGCAGACCGAGGTCGCAGCAGATGGAATGCACCAGAACGAGGCTTCTCTGCACTTGTTCCTGAGACCTGCCCGTGATGAGCCAATTGTTGAGATACAGGAAGACCTGGACCCCTCGATATCTCAGGTAAGTGGCCACTGGCGCCATACATTTTGTGAAGACCATTGGGGCCAATGAGAGACCAAAGGGCAGCGCTGTGAATTGGAAATGGTGTCCACCCACTATGAAACGGAGGAAATGTCTATGATCTTGGAATATGGAAATATGTGTCCTTCAAGTTGAGAGCGGCGTACAGTCTCCTGGATCCGGGGAGGGGATGATGGAGGCCAGGGAGACCATGCGAAACTTCAACTTCTTGAGAGACTTGTTGAGGCATCACAGATCCAGAATGGGTCTGAGGCCCCCTTTTGCTTTTGGGATTAGGAAATAACAGGAGTAGAACCCTTTATTCACATGTCCTGAGGGACCTCCTCCACCACCCCTAGGTTCAGGAGGTTCTCAACTCTTGAATGAAGAGCCGCTCATGAGAAGGGTCCCTGAAGAGGGACGGGAAAGAGAGGGGTGGGAGGGAGGGGTAGCCGAAAACTTCAGGGTGTAGCTGGACACTATGTCCAGCACTCAGCGGTCTGAGATGACCCATGACAAGGCCAAACAGTAGGGATGAAAACAAACAGTCGAGGAAAGAATAGAGTGGATCCTGGGAGTTGACTCGGATGTTGCTCTCAAGGGCACCCTCAAAATGAGTGCTTCTGGCCCTCAGGAGGCTTTGCTGGGCCGGGCTGTGCAGGTGAGTGGGAGGAGGAAGGGCAGCGGTGGTTACAAAACGAATGTCCCTATCCCTTCTACTTGCAGATCCCAAGGTCTTGGCAGCGGGGGTGGCCGGAACTGCTTCCATGCAGCCTGCAGCGTATGCATGTCCAGAAAGCAAAGGGTGGCCAGAGTGTCCTTTAACCCATGCAGCTTCGCATGTCTGCTCAAAAAAACACCACATCCCACTCCATTTGGAGGTAGCACCTAGCCATCATGGTGCCCTCCTCCACCAGGGTGCTGTATTCTT